CTGTTTGCCGTTCCTTCAATTCAGCGAGAAGCTTTCGAAAAAATCTTGATTTTTAATTTTTAGGTATAAAAATTTTTTTCATGTCATATTGCCACATGCCCAGAAATCACTAACACAACAACAGAAAATATGCGCAGTAAACTGAGTACCAATTTGAGAAACTAAAGCGCTTTTAACGCTGGTAATTGAACCCAGAAATGTTTAAAAAGGTGTAAAGGATAGAAGGTACAGCGCGAACCATCGCAGAAGCTAAGCGTAGAGTAAAAATCACAAGGAGCAAATAATTATAAACTTATACTGTCACGTCAGACTGAATGTTAGCTTGTAGTCTATTATGGCAGTAATGTTTACAACACGAACGGCCGTGTTGGATTGTAAACAACTTGTGAAATGAATTTTTAATCATGCAATAAGATTTCAATATGGATATACAAATCAGTTACAAACACTAGTTGTTGTATTTCTCCGATACGACCACTAGTGTTTGTAACTAATTTGCATATCTGTTCAAACTAATTTGTTTGGGTATGCATGGTGTGCACGTGACCTAATTCACGATATTTGTTTGTGTATAAACTTCGTTAGGTTTGTCGGTGAATTTAGATAGGTTTGTCTTATTTTTGTGTTAAAATGTAGCCACTACGATCATAAAATGGAATGAGTGATGACAACTGCAAATTCGTTAAGTAAGTATTTCAAAACTATTATTATCTAACTTGTGCACAGACAGTAACATGGTCAGTAGACCGAATAATCAGCATTATATAAATTTCATAGCGTGATTCATCTTTCTCGTTTAAAGTATCAGTTAAAAAGTGAAGAATATATCATCAAATTTGCATAGTATTTCACAAACCAATAAGAATAAGTTTTTTGACGAATTCTTCTTTGAGATATGACATTCAGAAGCAAGGTATAAAATCAAACTATATTCACCACCCACGGCACATGCTAGAATTCATAATTCAGAGTTATTGTCTGCCTTATCACGATTGATCGTGGCATGTAGTTTTTGCCTTATATTAAGACATTGTTATCACGGAAGACAATTCACTGTCAATTAAGTAAAAGAGTAAATGAAATGTACGGATTAACGATATTTTGCGAACAGACTGATCGCATGAAATGATGATTTTTCAGACACACATTTAATATCATGATGGATGTATTGTTAAGGATTCTAATCAAGTTAGGATAAGAGGAAACTTTTCAACGCTGACTAGTCCGACTTTATTTCGAATTCTTAGAAATACATTATGCAGTTATATGGTTTGAGCTATTAATGTAGCCTTCAGTTAAACATTTTACTGAACACAATCTTCTGCAATATTTTTCTAATTGAGCAAACTTGCAAATGAAATAATTTCTAAGGATTAATGATGTTTTGCCTATAGAATGATCGCATGAAATGACGATTGTTCGAGATACCCATTTAATTATCGATGCATTGTTAACGTAATCATGCAAATTAAGTTATGATAAGAGGAAACTTTTCACGAGATTTTGGAATTCTGAACCATGCAAGCTTTCTAGTCTTTAATTTGGAAATCAATCATAATCATAAGATGGATATCAGTAATTTGAAATAAGGGCCAAATTGGAAACATGTTTCGACATAACTACAAGCCATCTTAAGTGCAAATGAGATAATTATTTAAATTGTAAATATATAAGGTAAAAATATGATACAAGCGAGGTTAAACTCTACGATAGTTATTTATAGAATATTTACAAACATGATCAACAACATAACATGATACAAGTCACAAGATATGCATATTAGGTGGAGTGGTTTCTCACCAATGTAACAGGAAATATATCCTACCAAGTAAATTTATACACCACAAGGGATTTTAAATGACTATAGGTATAGCGTCCATGAAATTGAAAATGTTTTTAAGTAAATACTAGATTTATAGCAATGCAGAAATGTTTGCCAATGTTGAGGAGTTTCTGTTCTGGAATTTGAGATTAATGCCCTTTTAATGTAGTTTGAAATATTGAACGTTGGGTTTTTGTTGTTTGAGGCGAACTGGCGTTAAGATTGTTTTTGTTTATGCGTTTTGTCTGTTTCCGTAAGAAATAATGATGCGTTCAACCAGATGTTCCGGGAACGAGTGGCGTTGAAGTGAATGAGTTCTTTCAGATCGTCAAGGCCATTGTTAAATTTATAGATGCGGTCGGTCTATAAGGGTTTACATGCATGAAACCCGATTTATACTGAAATATATACTATACTAGTGGTAATCACAGATTAGTGATTTGCATTCGGAATGTGTTGATTTCGGTTACCGATCACTAACAAATGTTATTGTGATAAACGGCGGTCGAAAACGTATTAGTAAATTTCTTGATATTTAAATCAGGGAAAGAAATTTTGTTCCGTTTCTAAAGTAAACCTGATATTATCATAGCCTGAGTTTAAATAATCGAAAGATATATAGTTTGGCACATTTCAGTCAATTTTAAACATGCAAAATATGTCATCAACATAACGCTGGTAGAAAAGAGACTTTTTCCCGTTGTAAATATTAATCCAATTGTGAGGTTAATGTGGTGAGGTTAAGAAAAATTAGGGCATTTGGCGAGAATGAGATTGACCGAAATTTCGATATTTTCGTTCGAAGAGATTTTAGTAAACAAACCTTTTCAACGTCAAAAGATATAAAAAAGCGTCCACTGCTGTCAAGTTCAGGAAGTTCGTCAACAAACGAGAATACAGGTCTAAGTCATTTTACTGAACACAATCGTCTGCAATAATTTTCTAATTGAGCAAACTTTCTAATGAAATAACTTATAAGGGCTAATGATGTTTTTCGTATAGAATGATCGCATGAAAGGACGATTGTTCGAGATGCATTTAATTATCGATAAGGATATATTGTTAAATTAAGACCGATATCAAGCATTTGAAATTAGGGCCAAAACATGTTTCGACTAAACTATAGCCACTAAACTAGAAGCCATCTGCAGTGCGAATGAGATAATTATTTACATTTTGAAATATTGTATGATACAAGCGAGGTTATACTCTGTGATAGTTAGAATATTGACAAACATGGTTGACAACATAACATGACACAAGTCACAAGATAAGTGTCATATTAAGTGGATTAACGATAACAAATTATTACTGGAACCTGTTTGTTAAGATCTGGTTTGTGCTTGCGCATGTGGAGAGCTTGCTTGAGTTTAAGAGAGAGGAGGTGTTTGCAGTGTCTAGACCGGTAAAACAAGAGCGGGTGAAGCTAATTAGTTTTGCAGTTAAGGTTCTGTAGGTTTTTGTAAAAGTGCGAGTTTTTGGCAGAGGTGCATGGTGTGTTATTTGATCTTGTGGCAAGAAGGCGGGTGGTTTCACCAATGTAACAGGAAATATATACTGCCAAGTAAATTTATACACTACATGGGATTTCAAATAACTATATAATATATATTTCAAATCATAGGTATAGCATCCATAAAACTGAAAATGCTCTAAGAATTAAATAGTAGAAATCATGGTGTGAATTGGAATGATCGAAAAATATTTTGGCAACATTTTCAATTTAAACATGCAAAAGATGTCATTACCATAACGCCGGTAGAAAACAAAATATTTGCGAACAAAATAAGAACCCCAAGTGGATATGCCTTCCCGACGGTAATTAAAACTCTCAAAAGATGGGCTTTGTGCCTCATCTAAAAGACCAACAGGTAAAGAAATGCACGCCGACAATACGGGAAAGGTAAGCCAGCAGTGTCAACAAGCGGCGATTTCGTTTGATATTCTCTGTAGTATACGTACGTAATTAATACAGCTTGGTATTGGTCCAATTTTTATCCTTAGCGATGAACGTGAACAGCTGCTGAATTTCTGAGAATTTGATTTTTCGGTCGACTGCTGAAGAAAATGGTCGTTTTAAAAGAGCTTAACAAATGAATCAATAATTTTCACAATAAATTTTTATGTCAGTTTCAGGTTAGTGCTTTTAGTTCAAAAAGGAAGATCAAATTGACAAAAGATTTCTCACATGTATACAGGCCTGCCGGACAGAATAAAAAGTTTCCCCTTATCATGATTTAAATTTAATCATGACTTAACAATAAATCCATCGTTCAATGCGTATCTCGAACAATTCGTTGGATGTTTTGTCAAGTTCGTGATGGTAATTAACGACCAGAAAGTTCGTCACCATGGAAACGAGAATGAATCCTCAGTGATGTAGTCAATCGGAATAAGAGGGTTGAGTAGCGAGCATGAAGTATTAATTAAATTGTAATTATAAGAATTGAAAGAAGAGACTATAAGTCTAAGTGGAGCAGAGTCGTTGATGTTGTTATGTCTTTAAATCTGACTAAACTATAATTTTCGTTATCTTAGGTAAGCAATCGAGAGGTATGCAACTTTCAGAGATTTTTCTTGGGCAGAAACATTGAATTTATCCAAAGTCACGTGGCCACAAACCGCCCAATCACAATCAGCATAAGCGCTATAAATACAATTAAAAAGCGCCAAACGAAATGAAGCTGCACGTTTTATAGTCCAACCTTATTGATGAAGTTTTCTTCGAAACTTGTTATCTGTGAAATGCATGGCTTCAATGACCATGCAAATGAAGTAATTGTAAAAAATATATTTTCACAACATGTACATTTTAGATCGGTTTGTCTTTAGTAAAACGTAGCCACCACGAATATAAAATGGAATAGAAGTGGTGACAGCTGTAAATCAGTTCGATTAGTTCAAAGTAAATGAAATATTATATTGTAAATTATTTAACTATATAAGTTGTAATTAAGGCTAAAAAAGTTCACTCTTTGGGCGAGTCTTTATTACATTCATGTTTCGTGATGTGGACATAAGCACACACTTTGTGAATTAGTTAAAAATAGGAACCACTTGAACAGCAGCAGAACAATTGATTTGAACATTCTAGTCAAAACATTTGATTCATGCTAAAATTCCTGCACGTACGCCGTTGACTATAAATATAGAGCAGAGTTGAGTTGAATCAGAGAAGAATCGACAGAGCTGAAGCTGAGCTGAATTGATTTGTCCTGATCTCGAAAATAACAGTAAATTGAAAGGTAGGTTGAAATATTTGAATAATGAAGACCGTTTTATCAGTTTTATGCAGAAAGAGTCCAATGACAATGTTTGTTGATTTCCTATATGGATAATCTATTCCTTTCTAACACCGGCTAAGTTAATGGGACGCCTCTTATGAGTGAAAGATTTTGGTACTTGGTCAATGAAAATTTTCTGAAATTATTAATTGTATCAAATATGTTCGCAGTTTATTTTAGAATCCAAAAAGTAAAAGAAAAATTGTAAGAATTTGCTTGACAATTGCTTTTTGAGTTATTCCGTTCAGACCAACTTATATAGTCTATAACAACTGCACGGAGAGTCTTATTGAAGATTTGAATGCGCATCGCAACGGCATTATAATTACCACAAACACATGCCTGTACATTTTCGCTGCTGTGTTTCTCGACGCAGCGTCTGAAGCGTGTAAGAAATGCTGCATGTACATTAAATGTTAGTAAAGGCAGACTTGTCAACGATACCTGTTTCATGATGGAGGTTTATCACAGGGAATTATATAATTATAATATGAATTCGTCGTTAGTAAATAATCCCGATCTGTTAATTCCAAAAGTTGAAGAAATATGAACATTAGGATGAACATCATAGATCTGATTTTTATGGCATTTTATCCCTGAGCGCCGTGCGGGGGTACTAATTTCGCTCAGAGATCAGGAATTACACCCGGGTATGTGACAGAACATATAGCGGAATCCAAAGTTGCCCAAATCCTATATCATGGACTTTGTGCGTTCAATGATCATGGTATTTTGTACGCATGCGCGAAAAAAAAAAGGTTTAAAAAAAGTTTTGTATTTCAATGCAATCGTCAGTATTTTAACTGTCATTTTGCAAACTATTCTTTATTATTCTATATATATATATATATATATATATATATTATATATATATATATATTATAATATATATTATATATATATATTATATATATATATATGTCTTATATACAATTAAGTAAAGTATCCAAGAAGAAAGAGTGCTCGATATCAAAATTTAATAGAGCGATTAAAATAAAATAAAATCAATGAAATATTACAAAATTTTGAATATATTGTTCGCTACACTCTGTGTTTCACGTTTCTTCTGAAACGATGATGATCGTTTCGCCTGATGATCGTTTCAGAAGAAACGTGAAACACAGAGTGTAGCGAACAATATATTCAAAATTTTGTAATATTTCATTGATTTTATTTTATGTCTTATATATATATATATATATATATTATATATATATATTATTATATAATATATATATATATATATATAAACAATTATTAAGAAATTCTTCGTATGAGATAAAAGAGTGCTCAATACTGCAAGCAAATAGAGCAATATATATTTATTCATTTACATAATTCTTAAAAAATTGGCATCGCTACTCTGAGTTTCATGCCACAGAGGCAATCATCAGGCGACTAAATTTCAGTTCGTTACAGTTCGTTCAGTTTTAAGAATTATGTAAATAAATAATATATATATATATATATATATATATATATATATATATATATATATGTATATATTATAATATATATATATATATAATATATATATATATATATTATATATATATATATATATATATATAAAAATTATTAAGAAATTCTTCGTATGAGATAAAAGAGTGCTCAATACTGCAAGCAAATAGAGCAATATATATTTATTCATTTACATAATTCTTAAACAATTGGCATCGCTACTCTGAGTTTCATGCCACAGAGGCAATCATCAGGCGACTAAATTTCAGTTCGTTACAGTTCGTTCAGTTTTAAGAATTATGTAAATAAATAAATATATATATATATATATATATATATATATATATATATGTATATATATATATATATATATATATATATATATATATATATATATATATATATATATATATATATATATATATATATATATATATATAAGACACATGATTTTAAAACCTTTTTTACTTATGCTTTTTTCAATATATATATTAAGGACCATTTTATTTCCTTCAGGAACCATGTCCAAAGAAAATAGGATAACCTTGACAAGTAAGGATGGCAATGAACATACGTATGAGAATGATGATGAATCTATCTCACCAAAAAACAATTTGGTGAAGGCTGTGGTGGAGTATGGCAACTGGATTATCTACAATACTCAATTTGATCTCCCAAAAAAGTATAAATTCGTTACACTATATGGCGGTAATGGCTTTGGACAGATCGACAACGGAGCAACGCCAATCACTGCTGTAAAAACCATCAATTTTGTTGCGGATGGCATTTGCTTGTTTGAACACGACCATTTTTGGGGGAAAAATTACGTAAGCTCGTCTTATATCATTCTTCTTTCAAAAATATTTAACAAGAATTGTTTTAAATTCATATTTTTATTTCAATCAATTTTATCGGTTTAAATGTTCAAAACATGTATGAATGATAGGCTTTTCACAGTGTTAATTTAGTCACAACAACATGGAGGCGAGGCTAAGGGCCAAGCAATGATTTAAAGGTTATGTTGCCAATTGGTTGCTCAACCTCTTTTCTACTTAGTTGTAATGTAATTACCGAAATGGCATTCGAATATATATGAATGCATGCCTTTGTATTTCCTTGTACGTAATTTTTTGCGGCATGCACATATCGCTGCCTGAAATGCAGAAGATACATCATTTATGCACTTTATTTTGTTGTTTTATCTCATCAAATCAGTTTCTGTTCACCTTATTATACGTTCTGAACTTGCCTAGATTTTTAATACCCGTGTTATGTTGGAAATGATAGACAGTTATATAACATGTAATATTTTACTTACTATAGACCTATACAGACACATCATCTACTGAATCCGAATTTCCCACTGGGGAAGGGATGAAAGGTGTGGCTTCGATCATTGTATTTGGAGGCAGTTGGAAATTGTACGCAACAGATGGAAAGACGAAGACAATTTCTAAGAGCGAGAACCCAGATGTGTTGGCAATTGGCATAAGTCCCAACACAATTTACAAAGTGGAAAAACTTTAAATGGGCTGTGAAAGCCTCTCGTGATTTGTGTATTAAAAAGTACATTTTAATATCACTTTAATTCTACGTATCTTTTCAATATAATAAAGAAATGTTAGAATTGCATTTTATATATTCTCGTTAATCTCTTACCATATAGACTTAATACATTGTCGGAAATTTTAATCCTAAAATTTCCCAAAACTATCTTTGCACGCTTTTCCTGTAACTGCTGAATGCAAAGCACTACGGATGGTAGATATGCAATATATTAGTGGGTTTTACTAATCAGCAAAAGGCTGGGAAATTCAAAAGTAAAAGCATTTTATACAGATTATAAGAGCTTCTTAGTTCAACTGCATCCCGTTTTCTTCTTATGACCAGATCGCGTACCAGCTAGCATCTGGAAGCGCCTTTTATTGTTGGTTATAATTGCTTTGCTTGGGCACGCAGGCGGTTGCACGAATGCTGGATAGCGCTATTCAGCGGACATTATTGGTATAGTTTTTTTTTCAATCTCTTTAAATTTGCTCGTTATTTGGTACAAGCTAGCTGAATTGAACATTAGCATTCCGGCGAGCTGTAATTTCATTTCTTTTCAGGCATAAGCTTACAATAACATTGATTGAAAAAGTCACTATTATACGGTGGCCAAGAATCTCGAGGAAGCGAGATCATTTCAACATGCATTATACGGGATGTTTAACCAGATTCTTGTAAACAGCACACGCGGCCCGTTTATAATTAAGGCTGGTTTTCATCATTGTCATAATTCGCCGGTCATAATTCACGTGAATTACGACGAATTATGACGAATTGTGTTATATTAAAACCAGCCTATACGCTGTATTTTATATCTGCCTAAACATTAAAGATTTAAACTTTTTAAAGACAATATGGATATTAAGCTGGAATTCCTCATTAACTATTGTTTTTAATAAAGTTCGGTTCAGTGAATAGTTAGGGCATTTTGCGAGAATGAGATTGACCGCAATTTCAATAGTTTCATTCATAGGGATTTTAGTAGCTATAATTTATACAAAGCCTTTCTACGTCGAAAGATATAAAAGCGTCCACTGCTGTCAAGTTCAGGAAGTTCGTCAACAAACGAGAATACATGCAGGTCTAAGTCATTTTACTGAACACAATCGTCTGCGATAATTTGCTAATTGAGCTAACTTACAATAATTTATAAGGATTAATGATATTTTGCGTATAGAATGATCGCATGAAAGGACGATTGTTCGAGATACGCATTCCAAGGTGTAATCCCAAGTATATCTTGCCGACGGTAATCAAAACTTTCACAAGATGGGCTTTGTGCCTCATCTAAAAGATCGACAGGTAATTAATGAAATGCACGCCGGCAATACGGGAAAGGTGGTCAATGGCCAGCTGGCCGGCCAGCAGTATTAACATGTGGATATTTCGTTTGATATTCTCTGTAGTATACGTACGTAATCAATATTGTATGAGTGCAATTTTCATCCTTAGCGATGAACGTGAACAGCTGCTGAATTTCTGTTAAATTAATTTTTCGGTCGACTGCTGCAAGAAATGGTCGTTTTAAAAGAGCTTAACAAATGAATCAATAATTTTCACAATAAATTTTTATGTCAGTTTCAGGTTAGTGCTTTTAGTTCAAAAAGGAAGATCAAATTGACAAAAGATTTCTCACATGTATACAGGCCTGCCGGACAGAATAAAAAGTTTCCTCTTATTAAGATTTAATTTTAATCATGACTTAACAATAAATCAATCGTTCAATGCGTATCTCGAACAATTCGTTGGATGTATTGTCAAGTTCGCGATGGTACTTAACGACCAGAAAGTTCGTCACCATGGAAACAAGAGTGAATGCTTAGTGATGTAGTCAATCGGAATAAGAGAGTTGAGTGGCGAGCATGAAGTATTAATTAAATTGTAATTATAAGAATTGAAAGAGGAGACTATAAGTCTAAGTGAGGAAGAGCTGTTGATGTTGTCATGTGTTAAAATCTGATTAAACTATAATTTTCGTTATCTTAGGTAAGCAATCGAGAGGTATGCAACTTTCAGAGATTTTCCTTGGGCGGAAACTTTGAATTTATCCCAAGACACGTGGCTACAAACCACCCAATCACAATCAGCATAAGCGCTATATCAATAGAATTAAAATGCACCAAACGAATGCACCATGGCTTCAATAACCATGCAAATTAAGTTATTGTAAAAAATATATTTTCACGACATGTACATTTTAGATCGGTTTGTCTTTAGTAAAACGTAGCCACCACGATCATAAAATGGAATAGAAGTGGTGACAACTGCATATCAGTTTGATAAGTTCAAAGTAAATGAAATATTATATTGTAAATTATTATAGTAGCTATATAAATGAGTCTTTATTACATTCACGTTTCGTGATGTGGACATAAGCAACCACTTTGTGAATTGGTTAAAAATAGGAACCACTTGAACAGCAGCAGAACAATTGATTTGAAAATTCAAAGAAAAAAATGTGATAGTGTCAGTCTACTAAAATATTTTTTCTGAACTAGGTTACCTCTTGTCAAACTTGCTTAAAAATCTCGGTTACAGTCGCTTCGCGGCAAATGTGCGAGTTTTTTTCTACAATTTTTGTTTTGGTCTTAATCCATTTCATGTGCACAACATGGTGGACATGTTTGAAGTTACCTGATGTCACACCAATATAATGCTTCACAACTTCTCCATTATCTGAAACTACTACCTCGATGAACACTGAAATGGTATTGAGACGTCAAGCAGATCACATCATTTGAGAATGGCTGACAATTTACTGAAATCATTTATACGGATTAATGAAATCATTTATACGGATTAATGATACTTAGTGTTATTGGCGATATTGTTGACTGCATGAGATACACATTTAATTATGAATGTATTGTTAAGGTTCTGATGCAAAATTCAGCAGCTTTGCTCCAGTTGTTTTCTATTCAAATATAGTTTGTAAACATAATTACGCAATTTAGCTTCCTGGTGCAATGTAATTTTTTAAACTATATCCATATTATCGGGTTTATCGCTAAATTTGCACACATACAAGCTGTACTTAATGATGGCATACATATATTCGCTATATCGCATATACATATACATTTACATTGCATAGCTATACATAATTTCGATACATACTATTGCATACATACTGTATTTTTCACATGATATGTACGCAACCACTGTGGTTAGGTTAAAAGGTTAAAAAAGGGACGTAATTGAACACCAGAACGAGATTAGATTTAAATTCCTGATCGTAGGCATTGAATATAAACAGATGGAAATAGAGCTGAGTTGAAACAAAGAAAAACTGCCAGAACTGAAGCCGAGCTGAGTTCATTTGTCCTGATATCGATCTCGAAAATAACATTAAATTGAAAGGAAGGTACGGTTGGAATATTTTAATCCTGGAGACCCTTTCGTCCGTTTTAAGGAGAAATAATCCAATATCGATTGTTGACCGGCTTCATTTAATAATTTCCATGAAATATGCGGAAGTAATTGAACAATAGAACGAGATTAGATTAAAATTCCTACACGTAGGCATTGAATATAAATATAGGTGGGAACAGACTTAAGTTGAATCAAAAAAGAACCGCCGAGCTGAATTGATTTGTCCTGATCTCGACAGCGACAGTAAATTGAAAGGTAGGTTGAAATATTTGAATCATGAAGACCATTTTATCAATTTTATGCAGAAAGAATCAAATGTTTGTTGACTTCCTATAGATCATCCCTTTCTAAGGCCCGGCTAAGGTTTAGACGCCTCTTATGTACTTAACAATTTTGATACTTGAGCAATCAAAATATGAGAGTAGCTAGTGTCTGACTAAAGATTTTCATGCCCTGGTTCAAATATTTTCCGAATCCCAATTAGGGGAAACAAACCGGAAGATTAATACTCGCAAATTGCAATAGGCTCTTCGAGGGCGAAATATTATTGATGTGAAAGGTCATAATTCTATGATCATTCAGGACCGGAATCGTTTACGATTGCGAAATGCACATAGAAAATAATTAGAGCAATGGTTTCCCAATTTTTAGTGTCACTGCCAGCCTCGTAAATAACTATAAATATAGGCACGCTACAGGCTTTCACACAGATCAGTGGCTAAGCTGAGCGAGCGCGCAGGGAACCAAAAGGGCTGTCTTCAGTAATGGTATCTCAAAGCATGCGTTAAACTAATGTAACATATTCTTATTGGTTTGTGAAGTGCTATACAAACTTGATGATATATTTTTCACTTTTAACTCATACTTTCAACGAGAAAGATGAATCACAATATGAAATTTACATGATGCTGATTATTTGGTCCTAATGGCCTTGTTACCGTGTGCGAGCTTGATAATAATCGTTTTGTATAATTGTTTATACTGATCGAATTTCCATTGAAATTGTCGCCACTCAAATTTGCATTAAAATTGTCGTAAAAAAATAGGACAAACCGATCCAAAGACCAAAATAAACGAAGTCGCCTAACCTTTACGATCTGTGCATGTTGTGAAAATCTTTTTTAATGACTTCATTTGTATGATCACTGAAGCCATGCATTTCACAAATAAGGGGGCTGCTTACATGAGCCCGGTTACCCGAAATGCAACGACGCGTGAGATGATTTTGAGGTATTGAAATGAGCAGATAACATGATCCTGGCAGTCGTATAATCACCACAATAATAGCATGTGCTTGTTTGGTGTCATAAAGACTTATTTCAATACCTCAAGGTCCTCTCACGCTTCGTTGAATCTCGGGTAACCGGGCTCATGTAAACAGCCCCTAAGAAGTTTCGAAGCAAACTTCTTTTCGTTTGGTGCATTTTGTTATTGATAGCGAGTGACATAAAAAGTAAACTTCCTAACATTTTTATTGATATCGTAAACAAGAGAGAGAGACACGTCAAACTTATTTATTCCTTTAAACATAACTCTTAAGCTAACAGCTCTGCGGTGTGAAAAGGCCTTGTTTTACATGTTTACTATTGGAATCACTCCATGATTTGGCGAAAAGTTGATAACCTATGGTATATTTTCTTTGTGCCAGTCATCTTTCTAACATTAATTGTAATATTTCACAACAGCTGATATTCCTCATACGGTGAATCATGACAAGCAAAAAAGACTTGTTTGCTGTTGATAATGGTGGTTCCTTCCACACACGCCGCCCTCCAGTGGACGCCAATGACAACTGGATTAGCACTGCACACAAGATTGGTAATGCGGGATGGCAGAGTTTTAAATTTCTCTTTTTTGGTCCCGACGGCGACCTGTACGCTGTTCCACAAGATGGATCTTTTCTAAAAGGCCCACCTCCCACGCATGGCGAGGATAATTGGGTCGCTCGTGCAACGAAGATTGGTACTGGCGGATGGGCAAGTTTCAAGTTTTTGTTCTTCGACACAGAAGGTGATTTGTATGCTGTTCCACAAAATGGAACCTTTCTCAAAGGCTCTCCTCCCACGCATGCCCAAGATAATTGGACAGCCCGTGCAACGACGATTGGCACCGGAGGATGGGCTAGTTTCAAATTCCTTTTCTTTGGTCCTGATGCTGACCTCTATGCAGTTAAAGAAGATGGGTTCTATAAAAGCTACCCACCAACATTTGGCAGTGACAACTGGAGTGCTCGTGCCACAAAGATTGGCACCGGAGGATGGACAAGTTTCAAGTTCCTATTTTTTGGTCCAGCGGGTTACCTGTATGCCACTCCACAAGATGGAACCTTTCTCAAAGCCACAGCTCCAACTTATGGCGAAGACAACTGGACCGCGCGTTCAAAGAAGATTGGCACCGCTGGTTGGGCAGATTTTAAGTTTCTGTTTTGATATTCCCAGTATGATTGAACAATCAGTGACTGTGTTATGCACACATATAACCATTATACGCGTAACACAACAGTCTTTTAGCTAGCAGATGATTGCGTTAATTAAGTGTCATTATTTGAATTTAAAATAAACATTAGTTAATCCTATATATGTCTCGTATTTTCAACACCTTTTCGTAAAATGGTTTCAGGGGGAACTGTAATTCGACTCCAAGGATAAATTAGCCGCCATCGTTGACTTTAAAACCGAATGCAGGACGAGTTGCGTCGGTGCATAGCTGCCATGCGACAAAAATTCACTGCCTTCCCAATGTGCGTTTTAGGAGTTAAAACAATCATTTATGAACAAGATTAAAAATTGACAACCGTAACAAAACACAATAGTAGCTACCTGGGCTTTAGTTTTAGATACATTTTGGTACCACGGTAGAGTTATTAAGTTTCTCGCACTTAAGAAACAAATTTCGCTTCAGCCCATTTTCTTATGTACAAATTTTAGCATTTTACATGCATGAAAATTTTTGCTCAAAAACTCACTTTTACATTCCTTGTCACTTTCCCTGCTTCCGCCTTTACCAGTGATTAGCATTTAAATCCGATTTTTTTCGCTTCATTAAAATCTGACTTCAATTCACTTCATTCAAATCCAATGTGGAGTTCATTTACTTAGAGATCACTCCAGTGCTTGTTCTTCCCCTGTAAAATTTTGTAACCCGTAAATTTCGCTTAAAGTTCCTTCACATTTCCTTCAGCACGGAAAAAGGAAATAAAATATAACTGCGATACCTTTCATACGTGTACTTTTTAAGGCTGGTTTTCATATGTTATAATTCGTCATAGTGCAGATGTTGCAACAAATTACAACGAAATCACGACATGTGAATTTGGTTGGATTTCCAATTACAGAGAAATAGTTCGCTAGCGAAATATTTGCATTTTAACTGCATTAATAAATTAGTTCAACATGATTGTGCCGAATTCAAAAGAAAATATGCAAATATTTGGCTAGCGAACTATCTCTCTCTAAGTGGAAATCCACCCTCACGACGATTTATGAAGAATTGTGTCATGACAAAGGCAGCCTATATGCCGTATTTCACATGAGCCGAAACATTAAAGATTTAAACTTTTTAAAGACAACTCAAAAAAACGAAAACTATTGAAATCACCCATAACAATGTAATTGTTAGAGTTTCCATGCCTAAGCACTCTGTTGGGATCCATATAAGAGTATAAATGTTTGCCTTTTTATGCATGATGCAGTGAAATTTGTTTGTAAGCAAAAATATTTATTAACAATATTTACAATTTGTCCTTTGTCGACCTTTGTCGAAAAGCGTTTCGTACGCGTTGACAATAAACACCCGTTGTTCCGCGGTCAGCTGTACCATATCTTTCGAAGCAATAACAAGGCTAATTTAAATTCAGGCCCCGTTTACACTATACCGGATTGCATCGGAGCGCAGCGATTTTCGTACCGGATTGGGCTGCTGTTTACACTACTCTACTGTAATCCGGTACGTGCCGCGGAGCGAAAATCACTCCGGTTTTGAGGTGATATAAAAAGTAATCCGGTATGTACCAGAGCAGTGTAAACAGACCAATCCGGTATAAAACGTATTTCGGCGCGAAATTTGTAAGCCAAGTCGTGCCTTACGAGAATGACTCAGACAATATTTGGCGGGAAACTGGCATTGTTTCTATGAAAACATCAAAAAGTGATGAGCTGGCAACAAAGCGAAACGGTGCAATCGGCATAGTGTAAACACCCTTATTTTTTGCTTTGGATTGAAAATTAATTCGGTATGGAAAGTAATCCGGTATAGTGTAAACGGGGCCTTAATCATATTCACGATTTCAAATTTTTCGTATTTAGCATTTCATCAGTTGCATTAAATCCCCACGGGCTAAAATTTTAACAATGAGTGATTTCAATAGTTTTCGTTTTTTGAGACACCCTGTAGAGAGTAAGTTGGAATGCCTATGTAAAATACGGCGTATGAAACGAGAATAAATCAGTGGCGTAGCCAGCCCGACAATTTAGTCATGCTATGCTAATATTTTGGTGTTCATTGACTGTGAAAACAATGAATCTCTAAATAATTAATAATGATAATAACATAAAATTTGAAAAGCATGATTGTCAATTAGATGATGATGAAACGTTTGCAAACATATATTCCTCACAGATCAAATCAACTGTCAGGCCAGGGAAGCCAAACACTTGTAAACAATGAAGTATACAACACAACTGTTGCATATGCGACGAAAACGGTTTTGCAACGGATGTTGTATAAATTACTGAACTCCCACGATGAATAATAATAGTTCGCCAAAGAAAAATAAAGCCGTGTACTGGGAAACTGTGCTGGCCATAAAACGTTTAACACAGCGAATAAACACAAGTCAAAAGTAAAATATCATACAACTTACCTTCATGCATTTGATACTTATTTGCTGTCGAATTGACGAAGAGAACGCATGAAACACGATGCCCGGCGAACGATATGTGATTTTACTGTAATTAACCGGTTTGACCAGTTTTTGTCACCACTTTCCCACACGCGCAAAGCCGGTCCTGGCTAGTCCCTAGGCCTCTTAAACGTTCCTTAGCACACGCGGCGAGGCGGTATATAAATCACATTTCGTCACGGAAAAATAAATCACGCGCAATGAGGCCTAGGGCCTAAGCTGAAGCTGTAAAAAGAAGCGCAATAATCCAACATATTATTTAACATTTATAATAGAACAAATCAGCAAGGAAATGACAAATGTTTTTTCCGTATTCCAGTCAAAGTGCGATGTTACACTATGCAATTTTCCTTGCAACTTGTAATGCAATTATAAATTTGAGGGATGTAATTTGTAAAGAGTGTTCGAAATGCTATAAGAAAACGTTAGCAGATCGTACGAAATGTTCGTTATTTTCAACTTTAGATATCGATGCCTCCGGAGTAGAATTGCAGTGCAAGTTACAAGGAAAGTTGAATAGTGTAACACCGCCTTAGGATTGCAAGAAGTCACACTTTATTCAGCGAAATTCAAATTTAAACTTATGACGTTATTCATATATTTGTTCTGTTGGACGGACATATTAGTATCGGAAAAATACAACCCCTAGTGTTTGTAACTGATTTGTATATCTATTTAAATCTTATTGATTACAAATTCATTTCGCAAGTTGTTCGTACAATATTCAATACAACACTGCCCCTCGTGTTTTATATTACTTCCATAAATAGACTACAAGCAAGCATTCAGTCTGACAGTACGTTATTTGCTCCTTGTGTTTTTTACTCTATGCTGATAGCTCCTGCGATGGTTCCCGTTCACCTTCCACCTTTAACACAGCAAGATTTCCGCCATTGTACCCTTTTAAACATTGCTGGAGTGTAACCAGCGTTAAAAGCGATTAATTTATTAAGAGATCTCCATAGTATAGGTAGTCATTAAATGCAGTATGGGAAAAAATTTCAAGAGACCACAGGGGCAGAATTTTTCAGTTTCGCAGAGGTAAAATATGTCTTAATAAACACTCAGATTCTCGGTGTATTTAGTTTGCTGTTATCTGCATCGTTAGAAAAATTCTGCCACCGTAGTTGTGCTACCCGAACGGGCAATATTCATCAGGATAGTAACTGGAGGCGCGGTATGTGTGGATGTTTTTCAGCAAGAGAATTTATTTTGCGAAGTGATAAGGAACATTTCCCCATGCAAATAGTTTTAATACTAATGCTATAGCAAATGATAAGTCGTTGGAAAAAGAGTTATAGCTGTCAAGTGACATTATCTAATTCGGTTATTCGCGTGGACAATTTTTTCAATGGAGAACAAAATAGCATGTTTTGCTGAATTTATTTGGGGCTTTGATGCTAGATTGTAACGTTTTTGCAATCTAAATACTAACCGTTATCTACAAACAAATCATAATATGTTTAAGACCAGTTTTGGAGGAATGAAAGGCATTAGAGAAAGGACTGTTGGACCGAACGACTCGTAATAATCATTACTAACGGTGTTTTGGGAGAAGGAGAGCGGGCGAAACAATTTACCCAGTGCGCAAAGGGAGCATGCAAGGCCCCCAAAATACTACAAAAATAAAATTATATTCTTGTATTTTTGCATGGTTACATCAATAAGTAAATTAGCTTGTAGGTACACCACGTAAGTATTTAATACTGCAAAGCTTAACGGACCGAGTTAAGGAACCGAAAGCTTTACAGTATTAAATACTTACGTGGTGTACCTAGAAGCTAATTCAAAAAATAAAATTCTTTAAGTCTTGAGTTAATTCGACAGTGCATGTTGCCAGATTAAAGTACACATAAAGGCTAACTTCTTACACCGGTGACATTTAGTAAATATTTTCTGAGTGAACTGGACAATAAAATTAATACAAATATCTAATTTTACAATTAATGCGACATAAAGGCGATAGTATCCGCGATAAGTTGAAAAATTAATCGTTACTCTATGCCTTAAAATAACTTATTGCCTTTTCGAATTTTGAATATATAGCTTTGAAATAAAGTCGAAAATTTACCCTACCTATGAATGGAATTCATTGAAATTTGCCATTACATTACTTTGTAATTTTGTTGGCTATAATTTACGTTATGTAACATTGGGAAGTCCAAAAAATTTTTCTCAATGTATTAAAACATTTCCACTTCAAACAACCAAACAATGAATCAGAAAATAAATTTAAAATAGGAATCCCATATATTTCTTTATCACGCGCGCGATATGTGCCATGTGACCAAATCGAAAAATCTTTAAAATTAATTTTTTAGAGAATTAGACGTTTTTCACAGCGTTTAACGAATCAGGCCAATTTCCACACCGTTCTTCCAATGATGAGGCTTTTAAATCCACTTGCATGGGAATCCACTTTCTTTATGCATTTACAAACCGTTAAAATTCATCTTTGCATCATCCTCATAAAAGCGCAAGTTAAGGTTGACTTTCATTATAGCTTTCTTCATTATTTGCATTTGGAGGAGTTCTTGCTTCAGTTCGTATTTCATACTTTCAATAGAAAAACGGATAGGTTTTGGCGATTTTTAATATAATCGCACATATTATAGAGAACCATTTTGGTGCCATATTTCACCGTCGAGCAATGAAAGTAAGTTCAAAATAACATTCTGATATTTAGTAATTGTTTTCATCTTTAGAATAGGAATAGTAACATCTCATGTTCAATACTTCTTGTGTCCAATTTAAAATTTTCATCGAAATTCTTCTGGCAAACTAAATCTCGTAATCACGTTCTTGGTCTGTAAAGAAGAAACATTTTTCATCGAATCTAAATCTTGCAAGATTCCATTTCAGTCCAATGTTATTTCTAATGCCAATGCTCATTTCTAACATCAGAGAAACGACGCAAGCGTCGATGATAACAGGAAACGCCATTAAAAAATACTTCTCTTTTCAATCATGTTAAATCCTTTGTAAAGTTTTAGCCACTAGTTTTTGCCACGTCAACTGAAGCATCCTTTTTGTTGGTTTGGCTCCATTAGGACATCAACACGCTTGTCAATAATTGCTTTTGAATATTTTGCACACATTCGTCGATGGCTTTATCTTAACCTTAAATTATTTTTTTTTCCAAATATTCTCATTTCAAAGATTTTTGATTATGCACATGGACGTCAAAATCAAATATGGGACCCGACAAATGTTATGATAAATTTTAAAACACAACTAAACAATGGTGATTCAGAGCTTGGCTGTTTTTTGTGGAAATTTATTTAAAATTAGATTAATCGATTATTCTCATTTAGGAAAATGTTAGATTTTTGAATATGTCGACCAGTTCAATGGTATGTGCTTAGCTCATAATTTGGAAAAAAGGCATGCAAAATCTAAACTGCCTTTCAAGCATTTTACAACTTATCATTGAACTACCGCCGCTATGCGGCTTTGAATGTCTATATTAACTATCGTGAATCACCAAATTATTTGTGATATTCTTGGCCGATAATTTTTTATCATCCGTATTTATAGAGATTATCCATAAGTTTACATATGAAGTTAAAATATAGGCAATGTCCAGACCTGGTGTTTCTTGTAAGTTCAGTGTCATTTCTATCAGAATCAGCTGACTTGATGGTGATTGTAGGAGCCAACTTTGATCCAGAATAGTTTATCTGACCATGAAAGGACGTAATGTGTATATTTGACGTTTGTCAGTCTGTATTGCATTTATATGTAGAGCAATGTGGTGTATTTAATGATTGCTACCAGTATAATAGGGACAGTCAGGACAGCAGTGCAATTTTTTTGTTTAGTTACTTTAGATTTCAGATTTTAGGGATAGTACGTAAGCTGTTTACGTTTAAAAAGTTTTTGTATCTTTGCTCAAAATTTTGAAAACTCTTTTTCGGAAAGATATTTAGCTAAGGGCCTGCCATACAGCTGCCCTAACTTGATACGTAATGGCAGATTTGGAGCCTGACATATTTGATTTAATTCGCATTATTTTGTACATAGGGTAGTTAGATGAATTTACGGTTACAAGAAAAAAAATAGAAAACTATCAGGGAAAAACTGGAAAAGACAAAACTTATATGAGTCATCTTTGCTATGATATTATTGTGCGTGCAAAAAACCGTTAATGTTATGTTTACTTTTACAGTTAAGTTTTGTTAAAAGTGCCCTAAAATACAGGCCACTCAAATATGAAAAATATGAAAAATGCAAAAAATATGATGTAACAACCTTGAAAAATCTTTCAGCGAATATTTACAGGCTGTATTTCTGTTTAAGTTCTTCTTTTGCGTCGCTGAAATTAACGCGCTTCCATGCTTCAGGAATATCTGGCTCTTCCGCGTTGTGGTATTCAGCCAAATCTTTGGAGAAGGTTACCATGAACCACTGAAAATACTTAGATGCTTCTAATGTCGTATCTCTAGGAATTGACCACGATTCGTAATATTCATTAACCGACTCGTATTCTTCGCAAGGATGCCATTTTCCACCTGTGGCAACGTTTTGAAACCTAAGGAGACTGTCCACATTCATTGGGCAAATATTGGTTTCTAGTTGTCTTGTTGCCTGGTATTTGTAACCAATTATTCCCTCTGGGCGATGATATGGTGTTGAGTGTTTACCTAGATGATTTTCATGATTTAGGTCACACACGGCTTTGCAGAATGGGCAAACACTTTGACAACCCATCATGTCGTTAAATAGAACATCAGCTGGTTTTGGATGCCATAATTCTATACTTTCGTGACTTAACCCGCATCTGATCAAGCTTTCTACAAAATGGGTCACCTTCCTAAGAACTTCTTCCTGGAAAACTTCAATCTCTTCCAGATCTTCAATTTCAGCTAATGCAAATGTTTCATTCTTGATAACGAGGGTAGAACACTTTTCCACGAATGTTTTAATCCAAGATGATATTTTCTTAACTTTTAAAGATTTTGTTCCCTCGTTGGTTTTTGTTCCCTCGTTGGTTTTCGTTCCCTCTTTGGTTTTTGTTCCCTCGTTCGTTTTTGTTCCCTTGTTCGTTTTTGTTCCCTCGTTCGTTTTTGTTTCCTCGTTGGCATTGGAAATAGCAGCTAAAATATTGTCTCGTATTCCAATGATTTTCTCTTCGAAAATAGATTTTTTTTCTTCTTCTAAACTGTATTTCTCGGCAGAGACAATGAGCTGCATTCTTAAAAAGCTAACTGGATTTTCTATATACCGCTTGTACGCTTCAAACTTGCATTCCTTCGACGTAGAGGCCTCCAATTCGCATTCCTCCCCAAGTTGAATGAGGACACTCGCATGAAATTGACCTTTGCTTTGATACTTAGCTTCCTTCAACATTTCTCTTGCCACTGCCCGACCCATGGTGCTATTCAGCGCCGTCTCAATTGGGACTTCAAGCGCCTCGACAAACGAAGTTGCAGCCAACACTTCTTTTTTCACCTTCTTACAAACTTTATTGAAATATCTTTCCAGCTCTGGTCGAAATTTTTTTTCCAGGTCACCTCTTATGTCTCGTTCCAGAATAAAGAGTTCTTCCATTTCATCGAAAATTTTATATCTATTGGCGAAAATATTGAGCAAGATGTCACATTTTAAGGATTGACTCAATTTAAATTCAGCATCTTTCGTTTCCTCTTCTATAGTGGTGATCACTATGTGATACATGCGTTCTAGTTCATTGCTGCTGCATCTTGCCCCTGGTTTTGCGGATGCTTTTATCGCAAAATCGTGTGTTTTCTTATCCACAAGCTTTACAATTTTCTGAGCGTCGGATTGACACTTCACTCTTTTCTTGTTTTGAACGAAGTCAACCAGTTTTCCCAAAAAATTAAAGTTATATGTAAGATGATCATCGTCAATAATTGGCTCGTCTTCTTTAAAGTTTGATATTATATAATCTTTTCCCTGTAATTTCTCTTTAAAGTTTGCAGTCAGAACAAGATCTGTGTTGCAAAGAACAGCCACCATTTCTTTATTGACATCAACTTTCTTTTCCTCGCATCCAGGAAGGCCTTCAGTCCATAGCTTCCATTCCTGTTCGAATGCCGCCTTTAATTTTCCCTCATCATTAGTATCAGCAGATGTTATAAACTTTTTAGCTTTTTCCAGCAGTTCTTTTTTACGCATATCCTTCTGTTTATCAATATCCTGAATTTGCTGCAAATGATTGAAAGTTGATAAGCAGTTTTTCTGTACCTGCAATACTTGAAGTTCTCTTTGCATTTCAATTTTTTTCATTACGTTTTCTCTCCACTGTTCAAGAATCGCCTTGTCCTCGTCGCTTTTAATAAAATCATTTAGCGCGTCTTTCATCTTCTTCTCGAATTCCTTCGCCTTGTTTTGTATATCTCTTTCTTTTTCTCTCCACACTTCAGAAAGTTCCTCTGGGGATGAGCATCTTTTTAGAGCTACTTCAATATTCGATTGAAGATCACCCATTCCAATCACCATATTATTCACGGATTCATTGAAACACTTTCGGTCTAATGCCGTAAATGCCCTAACTTCGATTATATTACGGAAGCTAAATATGAAATTTTCTTTCAACATGGCTTTCCAGAGAATACCAACCTTATCGCGAAATTGAGAGAAAGAAAGCTTCATACTGTCTTTCAACATCAAATTTATGATGTTTTCTTTTACTCTTTGAACTGCTCTTCCATATTCAGGGTTCACAGGAGCCATTGGCGGATTTCCTTTCAGAAGGCTTGGTATATAAAAAACATGTTCATTGAAATCAAATGAAATAAGATCATCAAATTTTTGGTATTTGTGCGTACAATTTTCCTGCTTTGCAGCCAACTCCGTCATTTTGTCGAGGTCTTTCTTTAGGGCAAAACGTTTGTCGAACAATTTATCCCTCGCGTCGGGAGCTACAACATTTTGGTGAACAAAATTGCATGACCTCTTCTTTTGTTCGGCCAGGTTCATCTTCAAGAAAGCCTGAACAGCTATTTCTAAAAATTCTTTCATTTCGTTGTGATTTTCACCATATATGTTCACAATGGTTACATCAGCAATACCAATTGCAAACGTCGCCAACTGGTTATCATGTTTTCGTAACAGGGAGTCTGCGGATCCTTCAAGACCCTCAGTATCAATGATTAAAACATAGTCGCAGTTTGATTGAACGCTAAGATAATCACTTACAGGGAGAAGACTAGCGAAAGCACCACGAGTACACTTCCCTGCACTGACAGGGAACTCTAAACCAAACATTGTGTTTAACATTGTCGACTTACCTGAACTTTGAATACCTACAACAGAAATTACAAATTGTTTTGCATTATTTGTTTTCTCTTGTAGCTTAGTGTACACGGCATTAAACCATCGCAGTGGAATGTAAAACGAATCGCCATCCATTATTTCAAGAGGTTGTCCTGAAAGCAACATGTCCGCTGCAGCAGCTGCATAGTCGTATTTTACTTTGTCAATTTGGTAAAGCTGAGCCAGTTCTCTCATAATGTGTTCTATGCCAAAGGAGTATTTTAAGATGGATTCTTGAAGCTGTTTTAATCGTTTCTCCTCGGGCGATTGTGTGTTTAACTTCTGGGTCATTTCTTGTCTTATTTTCTGGTGTTTAAGAAAAGCTTCGCGATAGTCGGCATGCAATTTTGGCATGACCTGCAGAGACATTTTATCCAAGTGATGTTTTAACTTATTTAAAGTGTAATTTCGATTAATTTCATCCATCTGTCCAATGCCAGCGAGATAGTTGAGAACTTGTGTGTCCATGCGATGCAAGGTTTCTTTTTGGGCCTCCTCTTCCTTGAAGATTTCTTGATTAGTCTTCGCGAGAACTTGCTTAATATCACCACTTTTAGATGTACAAAACTTTTTACGTTCCAACTCGGCCAATGCTGGGATGTGCGTTTGTAGTTTCAGAAGCTTTTTAGAATTTTCGTTTTCCGTTTTAAGCCAACCGCCGAAACGTTTTTCGAATTTTTCATATGATTGGTATGAAGTATCACCAAGGTTAATGTTACCTTTTTTCAGATTAGAAACTAGCTCCACTAGAGGAAATGCTTTCTTTTTACCAATATTTTTCTGGATCTTTTCTCGTATGCTAAGGAGAAAATGGTTTTTGTTTTTCTCTTTGGCTTTAATTACCAAGGTCAACTTTAAATCTTCAAAATATCTTTTGGAATCCGATTTTATGTCCTCCTTAAAAATAAGGATAACTTTTCCACCGGCTTTCGTTGCTTCCTCCAAAATATCTTTTGGAATGCTTTCGCCCCCTCTTTGTTGAAACTCTGAAGGTAATAAGATAAATAATACGGATGAAATTTTCAAAAGGAAATGAAATTGCTTCCTGAAATTTTTGGCGTCTCCTCGAAGATTTGCAAAACAAATTTCGTTTTGTAATGTCCGTTTCTCACTCTGTCCAGGAAGATACCAGCTCAATTCAACCAAACCATCGACGACTTTTCGTTTAACATGTCCACCTTTCATGTTTTTGTGGAAGAAGTAGTCATGTGTATTGCCTCCGTAACTCATAATTTTGTTAATCAAGGATGATTTCGACATTTTAGTTGTGCCAATTCGAATGAATGAAACAACTGGAAATGGATGCTCTATGGCAAACACTTGTTTTGTGGTAGACCCATCTTCCCAACATTTAGTGATATTCTCCAACGCCGATAGCAAAAGTGTGACGTTTTCAGAAGGTGCCGAAGGGTCCGGCAGAAGAAAGGGGACACTAAGTTGACACGCAGATAATTTATTGGCAAGATAACGTCGTAAAGAATCATCGGATCCATGAAATATACCAAGTATTGCGTCCATCGGGTTGACTCCAACGTCTTCGTTTTCGTTCTCTTTCGAATCATCGTTACTTTTAACAGTCTCCTCGTTAGAATGTGATAGTTTTAACTCGAATTCACGTGCTTTGTAATTACCTATCATTAATGTTTCAAAAATATAATCAGGTATTTTTTTATGGGAGGTTAAATCTTCATCGGTTAGTTTTTGGTTATCAACCGTTCGTGCATGTTTTAAAGTGTACTTTGATAAAGGTGTTTGTGCGTTTTTGTCCTGTGTATTTGTTGTCTGAACTGTAGTGTTTGATGTCTTCATAGCCTGTGATGATTGACCCACATCACATTGTTCTGGTTTACCGTCCTTTCCTTTTTGAACTAAAGATGACTGCTTCGGAAGACCACTAGGAAACTTTATGTTCTTCGTTGCTGCCATAAAAGAGAATAGTTATAAAACTTTTTTGCTCGTTTTAAAGTACAGTTCCATGAAATATAAATATATATATATATATATATATATATATATATATATATATATATATATATATATATATATATACTGTCGTTGTCAAAAAGGTTGTCCTGAGCAAGTATATGTATATATCGATCACGTGACATTATTATGCATCAACACGCGTGGGATTGTACAAGCGTGTTAATTGCGAGTTCGAGTATAGCAAGGTGAACGATTAGAAAATGCCAAGACCATATTCGGATGATTTAAGGTGGAGAATGGTTTATCAACGACTGTTCTACGAAAGAATCATCGACGAAATTGCAGCACAGCTATTTGTTTGTTCAAAAACCGTCTATCGTACTCTCAGCACCTTTTGGAACACGGGTGATGTGAAGCCATGCCGTATGGGTCGCCCAACAGCGAGCGTATCTTTATTCCCACACGAAGAATATATTATCATGGACTGTTTACTGCGAACGCCGCAAATACAGTTGAATGAGATAGCAAGCTATATCATTAATGCTACAGGTTCTTCATTTGGCTCGGAGACACTGTGCCGAGCTCTCTATAGGCTTGGAATAACACGCAAAAAGGTACGAACATTATGACATTATTTAAGTTGGAATATATACTTAATACCGCACGCTGGAAATCATATAACTATATTAATAAGACGCAAGCCATTCCACCTTTTTTCCAATTTATTACAAGATTCTAGTTGTTCTTTATCAACTCTTCAAGCCAGATTTTCTTTTTCAGATACAGAGAACTGCCCTTCAGCGAAAAAACGATATTAGGCTACAATTCATGGCCGAAATCAGCCTTTTCGACCCAAACCTGCTCGTTTTCGTCGATGAAACAGGCATTGTATGTACTACTAGTAGATCTTTTATTTATTTGGTTCTACGTTTTAAGGATAAACGGCAATATGGATATAGTGCTCGTGCATGCATGGGATACCGCCTGTTGTGAGCGACTATAGCTATGCACGGTGGACACCTCGCTATTCCATTATTTCGGCAATATCGTGTGATGGACTTCTTGCGAACTGTTTGTTAAAGAATCCCGAAGAAAGATTTGAAACACGCTCCTTTATCCATTTTCTTGATGAACAGCTTTTGCCAGCTATGAATCGATTTGATGGGGAAAACCCGCGATCCGTTCTCGTTATGGTTGAGATTTGAATATAATTAATGCAAATTCGCTGTTCTAACATATGTCTCAAGGGATGACTGAATTTGTGATCATGTTTTGATCTATTAATATCTGTTTAAACAAAACTTGTTGATGCACAAAGATGCAACTGCTAAAACTAGCAATATGCATATTTTTTAACAGATAACCACCCAACACATCATGTACAAGAAGTTGTAGAACGAGTGTACGACAGTCCTGATTTGAATCCTATTGAAGAGGTTTACATATAGCTTGCTATCTCATTCAACTGTATTTGCGGCGTTCGCAGTAAACAGTCCATGATAATATATTCTTCGTATGGGAATAAAGATACGCTCGCTGTTGGGCGACCCATACGGCAAGGCTTCACATCACCCGTGTTCCAAAAGGTGCTGAGAGTACGATAGACGGTTTTTGAACAAACAAATAGCTGTGCTGCAATTTCGTCGATGATTCTTTCGTAGAACAGTCGTTGATAAACCATTCTCCACCTTAAATCATCCGAATATGGTCTTGGCATTTTCTAATCGTTCACCTTGCTATACTCGAACTCGCAATTAACACGCTTGTACAATCCCACGCGTGTTGATGCATAATAATGTCACGTGATCGATATATACATATACTTGCTCAGGACAACCTTTTTGACAACGACAGTATATATATATATATATATATATATATATATATATATATATATATATATATATAATATATATATATATATATATATATATATACATATATATATTATATAATATATATATATATATATATATATATTTATTCATTTACATAATTCTTAAAAAATTGGCATCGCTACTCTGAATTTCATGCCACAGAGGCAATCATCAGGCGACTAAATTTCAGTTCGTTACAAGTTTGATGACGTGCTACTTTCTTGTTGCGTGTGCGTTTAAAATTTCCTGCCCAAAGAAAGTCGCAAACAAGAAAGTCGCACGTCATCAAACCTGTAACGAACTGAAATTTAGTCGCCTGATGATTGCCTCTGTGGCATGAAACTCAGAGTAGCGATGCCAATTTTTTAAGAATTATGTAAATGAATAAATATATATTGCTCTATTTGCTTGCAGTATTGAGCACTCTTTTATCTCATACGAAGAATTTCTTAATAATTGTTTATATATATATATATATATATATATATATATATATAATTATATATATATATATATATATACACACTCATTTGCAAAAACGTTGGCCGCAGATAGATATATAGATAGATACTCGAAGTTTAATTAGAATTGCATATGATTACATTTGCATGGGATTTCAATCATATTACACAACATATGCAATTCTAATTAGATTTCGGGTATCTATCTATATATCCATCTGCGGCCAACGTTTTTGCAAATGGGTGTATATATATATATATATATATATATATATATATATATATATATATATATATATATATATATATATTATATGACACGCGGTCTTGTGACTAAATGGCGTGCGCTGATTGGTTCTTTGCCGGTCTGGAATCCCCCAGTATTAGACCGTTGCCGTAATAACGGACCAACTCTCATATTTTCGAACAAAAACAAGCTTGCACTTTTATTTTTGACACGAAAAATATCAACAGAGAATGGAAGAAGAAGAGCATTATTTGGTACATGCATGTGAATATTATATTTATTCATCTTTGATTTTTGTTTATATTTATGTATACATTCTTATTTAACGAGTAAAAAACAAAGTTTTGGAAGCCACTTTAGTGCTTACTTGGCGACTGGCTGGCGAAAGAGCCGGCAAGAATTATGCTGCAGTGCATTAAATAATAATAATTGCATTGCAATAAATCCCTTATTAACCGAATACGTTCGGTCCGTACTGGAAAAATATCAGACCTCGTTTTTTTATGTACGGACCTCGCTATCAATCGGTTCGTACTGTCAAGACCTCGGTCTGATATTTTTCTAGTACGGACCTAAAATTCGGTTAATAAGTATAAGTATATATACATATATATGATCAATACTAAATTGATTGTTCGCTACTCAGAGTTTCACGATCTTTAACAATCGATCATCAGGCGATTATGTCCGTTTATAATTCTCTTGCTTGATTTCGTAATTTTCAATTGATCTTGTTGCACGCGCGCACGATGAAATTTTCCAGCATTGTACCGGTCATTGTGGGGACATTTCCTGAACAGCTCTGATCGCTTATTTAACAAGTTTTTATGGTTTGATTTCATGATACAAAGTTTCTCTTCAATACAAAGACTACAACGTGAGTTACCGGGAGCATAAGGTGTTGAGTGATTCAGAATTGTTGAAGACCAAGAACACCAAGCAAAATTGTGCTTATCAAAACAAGAACACCAAGCAACATTGTGCTTAAAGTGCCTATGTCATGTTTGGAGAAATAGACTTTTTAGGTAGTTTAGACGATTTTAAGAACTTTTGCAATATATTGGATAAGTCGAAAATTTCATCTTCATCGACTTTGAGGGCCTCAAAGTTGGTGATTTTGACTAAAACCGTGACCTTAAAGGACTAGGGCGAGAACGGTTGTGAGACGGGTTGTGACGTCATTTCGGGAAGTCGCATTTCTTGTAAAGCCGTAAAACACTGTATTTTATCATGATATTGCGCGAGCGAAGATAGACTTTGAATTGTACTTTTTCAATATTACTGTCGCGTTTCGTTTAATTTGTGGATGCGACAATGTCGTGAAGCTTTACTTATCCGATCAGCGGCGAGGTGAATCAGAAAATAACGCCGAACAAGCTGTTCATTGGCACTGATTGCTACGATCGAACAATCTTGAAGATGACGCTTCTCTGAGGCTCTGACTCACTCAGTGCTCTGACTGCAGATGAAAGTGTCCATACCCGAATGATGTTTTAAAATGTGTTGCCAACTATTACAAAGAAAGTCGGAACACGAAGATAAATTGCAAATACTTAATATACAGTCGGAGGCTGGTTCGAAAGACGTGTAGCAGGAAAGATGGTGAGTAGAATTGTTTTTGTATATCAACGTTTGCTATTTGAATCGGATGTTTATTTTACGGTAATGGTGAAGTACCAAAAATTATAAGAGTAGACCAGCGTTTTTCAAAGTAAAACGACAAACAAAGCATTTGGGGTATACACATGAATTCTCATCTAATTATGGTGTGCTGAACAGTGGTCTACTAGAAGGTACCTATAAATTTTATCACCAAGCCAGTTAGCATTCAAAAGTCAAAGAGACAAGAGCTGTTGAGAAATAGTGTTTATATAGCATTCCTTGGTACCATTAATATGTGTATTGTATTATACATCTTCAATGCTCTCAATTATTTCATAATGCATTCTATCATTTTACTTTGTAGCTATCTTGACTTGAACATATTGCATATTGACAATCGATGCAACTTGTTCAATTATGGCCACTTGGAGAAAAAAAGAATGTCATGACCGCCATGTTATATGCAGTAAATTTAATGAAAAGGACTTTCACAGAGATGACCATCTTTAAGGATTTATTTTATACTCCTTTTCATTTACATATTCTATGGTTATAAGTCAACTCAGTCAGAACTCAGAAGAGGTTGCTTCTTTAGGAATTTGACTTATTGCTGCCTTTTGTACACAACTTATATAACATTTAAGCTTTGTTGTAACATTTTTGCAAATTTCATTATGAATTAAAATTTGAATAACTTGTAAAACAAATTGTGTGTGTAGCTTGCAACAAAATGTTGCCTATATTGCAGTGAACTCGTTTTTGTGCGACTCGTGTCGTTTTTTTGCATTAAAACACAATATCATGCATATATCCAAGAAATATATAATTTTGAAATAATAAATGTATAAACAAGGCACTTCAATGAAATTTTGAGAGTAGTTTTAAAGATTTATTCAAAAATTATGCTCATTTAGGAGGGTTATAATACCTTTATTTTGACCATTTGATATAACAATACATAATTACTGTTTGATAGGTTTATGTTTTAAAAATTTGTGTGTTGTTAAACCACCAATAAAATATTTACATATATACATTATTCAATAACTGATTATTTTTTCCTGCAAAGACAGTTCAGAACATTCCAATGACCTTTTATGGGTTTGTCACAAGTCTGCAACATGGTTTTGCTTGTTTTTAATGCGGATGTGTGGATCGAGTTTCCCAAGTTGAAGGTACTGAAGCAAATTAATAGGTCTCAATCTGTTCTTGTGATTTGGTCATACTTCCAGATTCTGTTAGTGTACAAACATATAAATATCAAATTTCTGTTTTTTGTAGAAATAAAAAATATATTGAAAGTACTTGCTTTAATCAACAGTGTGATACATTTCTCATGTTCTCTATTGTTGCATTACGCAAGATATGGATGAATCAAAACAAGTGAACAGAGCATTGATGAAACTCATGTTCTCATGTTCTCTATTGTTGCATTACGCAAGATATGGATGAATCAAAACAAGTGAACAGAGCATTGATGAAACTTTGCGACGGTGATATCTTGCAGACAATGTCCTGCTAGTTTTGTTATTATAATTTGACGGGCGCACAGATATACTTATTGTGTCTTACTTCAAGCGATGAGCCACAAGTCCCACGACGGATAATCTGTTTTACATCAAAAGTCAAAACTTTCGTTGATACCAATATAACTGTTCTGATCGAACTCCTCAGAGGTCAAACGGCTCTTTCGAACAGAGCTTTCCCCTGTCTTTTGCCTCGGGCGGTGTACCATATAAAATTCTATGTACGGTAGCGCAATTCTTTCGCGTAAATCGGCGGTGTTGAAACTACAAAGCTGTGTTACATCCTTGCACCATTATTAATACATGTCGAACACATAAAGGCCTAACTTTACACAAAATCTTTGCTTATCCGCGATATAATAATTTAACACTCTTTATTTTCTATGATATAGCTTATTGTTATTTTCGCAACTTCCCGATTTGACGTCACACATAACATTAGTTACCAGTTTTTTCAGGATCACAGAAAATCATAAAAATTGTCAAAATCCCCAAATTTGAGGCCCTCAAAGTCGATGAAGATGAAATTTTCGACTTATCCAATATATTGCAAAAGTTCTTAAAATCGTCTAAACTACCTAAAAAGTCTATTTCCCCAAACATGACATAGGCACTTTAAAACAAGAACACCAAGCAACATTGTGCTTATTAAAACAAGAACACCAAGCAACATTGTGGTTAAAACAAAAACACCAAGCAACATTGTGCTTATTAAAACAAGAACACCAGGCAATATTGTGTTTATTAAACAAGAACACCAAGCAACATTGTGCTTAAAACAAGAACACCAAGCAAGATTGTGCTTAAAACAAGAACACCAAGCAAGATTGCGCCTATTAAAACAAGAAACCAAGCAAGCTTGTGCTTAAAACAAGAACACCAAGCAAGATTGTGCTTATTAAAACAAGAACACCAAGCAATATTGTGCTTATTAAAACAAGAACACCAAGCAACATTATGCTTAAAACAAAAACACCAAGCAACACTGTGCTTATTAAAACAAGAACACCAAGCAATATTGTGCTTATTAAAACAAGAACACCAAGCAATATTGTGCTTAAAACAAGAACACCAAGCAAGATTGTGCTTAAAACAAGAACACCAAGCAAGATTGTGCTTATTAAAACAAGAACACCAAGCAATATTGTGCTTATTAAAACAAGAACACCAAGCAACATTGTGCTTATTAAAACAAGAACACCAAGCAACATTATGCTTAAAACAAAAACACCAAGCAACACTGTGCTTATTAAAACAAGAACACCAAGCAATATTGTGCTTATTAAAACAAGAACACCAAGCAATATTGTGCTTATTAAAACAAGAACACCAAGCAACATTGTGCTTATTAAAACAAGAACACCAAGCAACATTGTGCTTATTAAAACAAGAACACCAAGCAATATTGTGCTTATTAAAACAAGAACACCAAGCAACATTGTGCTTATTAAAACAAGAACACCAAGCAATATTGTGCTTATTAAAACAAGAACACCAAGCAATATTGTGCTTATTAAAACAAGAACACCAAGCAACATTGTGCTTATTAAAACAAGAACACCAAGCAACATTGTGCTTAAAACAAGAACACCAAGCAAGATTGTGCTTAAAACAAGAACACCAAGCAAGATTGTGCTTAAAACAAGAACACCAAGCAAGCTTGTGCTTATTAAAACAAGAACACCAAGCAACATTGTGCTTAAAACAAAAACACCAAGCAACATTGTGCTTATTAAAACAAAATAAGGAAAAAATGGGATTGAGGTTAATCAATATATCTCCATCTGCTATCCAACATGTATACCACCACCAACATACTTTGAATCACCAGTCAAAAAAGTGGTACTGCTTGGCCTCTAAATTTTGGGGCAATTCTTCAAAGATATATGGTACTCCAGTAGTAACGTGCAAGAAAAAGTCGTATCACACGTTATGGTGTCACGCGTTCGACATGACTATTAGCCAATCAGAAAACTGTGAATTTTTTTAAAAAAATTATATTATTATACATTACTAATGCAATCTCGATTGTGATTGGCTAAAAACCTACAGATAATTCTCAATGCCCTGCGCGACATTGAAAATAATCCGTAGGTGACGTAATTTTTTGCCGCTAGTTTGTTGTCAATAATGGCGCAGGCTTCCTCCCGAAAAAGGAAATACATAATAAAACAATTATTGAATTCGGTTTTCACATGATATCGATAATTATCAAGCCTCAGTTTGCGTTATCCGCAAACTTCGGCTTGATAATTCTCGATATCACACTCAACCTAATCCAATAATTGTCGAATATCATTTAGTGATATCAGTAGCAACATAAAATTACTGGATGCATGCTGATTTCAGTGCAATCAATCTCATTCGTTGAGTTGCCGAATAGACCAATGCGCGGTCACCTAAATGCAATCGCAATAATCACGTCAGGATTATGTGGGGCAAAGAAATTAGGCCAGAAATAAACGAGACAAACAAGCCCACCAGAGAAAGCGATAAAGAAGATATAAATATTCATACTTCATACCATTCACTGAATCATCAATTTTTTTGTCATCATTTTTATCAGTGTCGCCCTCTTCTGCCGAATACTTAACTTGTTCCATGAGATCATTCGTTTGAACCTCAGTAGATGTTGATTCGTTTTTTTCTTGTCGTTTATCTCCATTCTTTGTTCCCCTCATTTGTTCTATAAGATATTTTTGAACCAAAGAAAAATGTTACGGAAATAAGCAAACGTTGCGTACATACGTAGAAATACGTAGATATTGTCAGACTATGTATATGAGAATGGTATTGAACATGGTCCAAAAATGAAAGATGGTTAAAATTGGAAGGAAAGATAATTTGGTTATTCAAATCTAATTTCTAAATTCAGGTGATTACTATGATGCGGGTTAATTTTAATTAATATTGGTTTTCAGAGAGAGCATAAAATAACAGTAAAAATCTAGAAATACATTCATGCAGCACCACTCACCATTTCAAACCAAGCAAATAAATTCCTAAGTTAGCCGGACCGAAGGTTATATTTTGGCATGACTCAAATGAGTTTATAGCTCATTATATTTCTGTCATTTAGAACGAAAATTGTCCTATAGTAGTAAAGAAAACATACGCTACAAAAACCGAGTGTCGTATTTCATACCATTATTTTTTTTTCTATAACATAAGATAAATGTGATGGGAATGTAAAACTTTGTCCAGATGAAGGAAATTCTGTCAGTATAGAAATATTGTAAAACATCCAAATATTGGTCTGTATAAAAAGTATAGGAGAAGTTGAAAAATTGCGTATGATAACATAACAAGTCTTTGTGTAACTGATTTATAACATTAGGCCCGAATTGGAAATGAATGGTAATAAAAATTGGTACCGATGCTAAGAATTTCAAATCTACTGTCGGCGATAAGTTTGATGCACATGTTATGTCAAAGAGTCGTTATTCAAGGGAGCACAATACAGATTCATTGAGTCTTAAAATTGTTCGCATCATACCCATCATTCGCATCATCATAAGTAATAGTACTAGACCATGCGGCAAAGTTTTTTGATAAATTTCGATAATGCAAAAAAATACCATACCGACGTTTTGTAATCATTGGACGTGCATTCATGCACTGATTGTAGGAATTACTGGGGAGTAAGCTCTTCCTGGTTTATACTACTTGTTTAAATGATGCAAACAAAAAAAATTTATAGCCAGCTTTGTGGTGGATTTAAAAAAATTCTTACGAAATATTTCTTCGGATATCATTCGCGAAGTCCCCGCAGAAACAAATACGAAACAAATTGGAATTATCGCAATGATAAAGCAAGAAAATGTACGAAAAAAACTGCCAAAAATAATCGAGACAAACACAATGTCCATTACAAAAACAGACCTCGAAAGTGTAATTTTTCATGTTTCGTACCATTGACCGAATCATCAGTTGTTTTTTCATCATGTTCATCACTGTTGCACTCTTCTGCCGAATGCTCGGCTTGTTCCAGGGTATCATTTTTTTTTTGCTCAATTGATTTTGTTTCGCTTTTATCTTGGTCATCTTCATTCTCTGTTCCTTTGATGTGTTCTATAAGATTTTTGTTCAAAGGAAATTTGACAAAATTGGAAAACTTTTCTAGACGAGTGGAAACTTTGTCAGAAAATGTATAAGTAGACTCTATCTCTATCTCTCTGAGAATGGTGTGGTTCGCGGTTCACGTAGAAATGAAAGATAATGGAATTTGGTTGTACGAATTTAATTGCGATACAATCTTTTAAGCCTGGATTCCTAATACATGTTATTGCCACGATTTTTTTGATTTGTCAAAAGGAATTAAAGCGGACAAACAAGACCACGAGAGAAAGCAATGATGAGTAAGTAAATAATTATACTTCATACCATTCACTGAATCATCAGTTGTTATGCCACCATCTTTATCACCGTCCTCTCCTGCAGAATAGTTGACTTCCGTGATATTATTCGCTTCCACTTTAACTGATGTTGGTTTGATTTTAACTTGCTTTTTATCTCCATTCCCTGTTTCTTTCATGTGCTCTATAAGACATGTTGAGACAAAGAAAAATGTTGACGAATTCAGTAAATTTTGCGAGATTCTTCGCTTGATTTTTTTCAGTTGTGAATATTTGGCGGTAGCAAATTCCTTTGATCAATTCAATTGAACAGAAAAGAATTTAGCTTTGTGGAAACCGCTTTATAGCCTGGATTCCGAATTCAGGATGTTTATATTATGTGGATTTCAATTGACCATAACAAAAAAGATGGCGGATGTACATTTTACCACATCATTAGTTTTTCTTGCCATCTTTTTTCAGTCAATCATTCTTAATGCCCACAATGCATTCTGGTAAAATATACATGCCGCCATCTTTTGCGTTACTGTCAATTGGTTTTTAAAGACAACACGAAAAACCAGGGTAAATAATGTCATTTATTAATTAGTAACATCATGATATTACTTGAACCTGATTGGTTAATTGGAATGAGGCATTCAGTTATTGACTACCAGTAGATGACCAAAGATGACCAAAATAACTGAATTTTTTTGGGCATACATACGAGACAACCCCAGAAGAATTAATCTAGCAGTGATATTCAGATCAATTCTCAGATCAATTGACTCAGATCAATTAAATTTTGATGTTGCTACTTTGAGTTATCAACCGGGCAAGCTGAAAAATAGCTTGACCACGGTAGGAAAAGACCCCACGACCATTGGTTTTCTTGGCCAATGCTCTTCCAAATGGCCCGCTAGGTCGAGACGATTCGAATATTTGATATTTAACAAATAAAACCGCTATAGAAGCCGATTATAATTTTTCATACCATTTACTGAAACATCAGATGTTTTGTCATCATGCTTCCTATTGTCTCTCTTGTCTTCCAAATATATATTGGTTTCAACTTCGGCTGATGTTGTTTCGTTTCTAACTTGGTGTTGATCTTCTTTCTCTGCTTTCTCCATTTGTACTATAACGCTTTCTTTTATTCTGTATTAAAAATCAAAATGAATTCGCGCAAAATCGAAACAAATAATTCCATAAAATTCTAACATATTTGCAGACATAAACCTTGCGCATTGCTTTTTAGTGATGCTATAGTTAGAATCTCAAACAGAGTAGAACGGAAATTCCGATTCAGCAAGTACTAATAGACCATTCAGTAAGGGTCTTTCACATACTGTAAAACGAAATTGCAGCTAGCGCTAAGTTGTCGACCAATTATTGTTGAATATGGTTTTATAATGTTATCTGATCACTAAAAGACAAAACAGACCCCTTTCGCGTAGGTCACGCACTAACTGTCCACAGGCACCTCGCTTTGCCCCGTTTGGGCCATGAAGCAGTATTTAGCAAGACAACCAAAAACCACAGGCCCTCTCTTTATTCATGCATCAGGCAAACCGCTCACGCAACAAACGTTAACTGCTCAGACTCGAACTTTGTTACAAAAAGTTGGTCTCAACGCCACGAAATATGCTGGTCATAGCTTTCGGATCGACGCTGCTACGACCGCAGCCTCGGCTAACTTGCCTGCTTGGCCGATCAAAACGTTAGGACGCTGGTCTTCTGATTGTTTTGAACGTTACATTCAAACACCTACTTCAACGCTCTCAAGCGTATCAGCCACACTGGCCAATATTTCAAAATATTGATTTCCTATTTTGGGGGGAGGACTCCTTCGTCTATGGGGATACACATTCTGTGTATTGTGGGAGGAAGCGCTCCTGATTGTCACGTTCAAGCGCATAGACTCAGCATTAAGTTATTGTAATCATGGATCAGTCGAATCGTATACCGCCCAACTAGCGTGTGCGGTTGGTCAGGTTGATGTCTTAGAGGCTAGTTACCTCTTTCATGGTATGTAGCGTGTGCGCATACATGACATCATGCGCTGGTGCGAAGTTCCAGAGTCCTATGGAGAATATAAACCCCAGGACAACGGTTTGAAGGCCATTTAAGAACGAGGCTTTGGGATGAAAGAATGACCACAAAGAATTACATCCTATAGGAGTGCTTCCCCCACAACCCTTCTCCCAAAAAAAAACGTGTGTGTGTCTACTGTTTTGCGCAGAAAACCCGCTTGCTAGTAATCATTAGAACGGCTTCGATCATTAAATAGGTGTTTGATATGGGTACTATATATATGGTATTATATGGGTACTATAAAAATATAAAAAGAATAGTAGGAATACTTTGAAATGCGGTATATACTATAGAGCGGAAAAAGTCATAAATACCTATACATTTACATGTTTTTTTTTCGTGAACAATTAGCATATGTTTGTTCTCATATTTCAAAAACAATTAAGTGGCGTGATACAAACTGACTTTCAAAACAAATATCTGAGCAATGACGTTCAGCTTTTGTGCAAAGCGAAAGTTGTTCGGTTTTACCAATAGCTTATTAGCCTCCAGCAGAGATGAAGTTCACTAAAATCCGACGTTTTATTATAAACATGTATATCAATTGCAAGTATCTTAGGTGTTTAAAAATTGCATTTCAACTGCATGTTGTATGTCCACATGCCCGCAAGAGTATATATAAGAACAGGCGTAAAATGAGAAACACATTGATTGAGATGTGGCCCACGTCATGTGGGGATATTTGAATTATCAAATGGCAGCGGAAACCTTGTTGCATGCGTGGCATACATAAATTACTTAGTAACGCCTTTTGTCTCGCAGGTATACCATAACTTCAAAACAACACATAAGACATCTTTCTATCATTGTAGTAGCAGTAACAGAATAAATCAATACATTAACTCTCGTAAAACCCTTCAGTACATGCACCTACAATTAAAAATTCCATATAACTATGTATAACAACTGTGGTACATCAAATGTCGAAACGTCAAGAAGTGTTTTGTCTATTTTAGGCAGTTGCTATACCACATTTGATGCTAAGTCATAAATACCTACATTACGTGTTTCTCCCTTGAATTATCCCAGTCAGAAAGCAAAATGTTCAATCAAAGTAAACAGGAAATTAATGAAAAAGAAATATTCTAGCTTCACTTGAGAACACATCATTTAAAGTATTTTCAATTCTGTGAGTGTCGAGAACTGCTTACTTCATTGGCGTTAGAAGTTATGAATGCATTGTGCAGGTCTGTTACTTTTAAACAAGACGAGTGGCGTGATACAAACTGACTTTCAAAACAAACATCTCAGCAATGACGTTCAGCTTTTGTGCAAAGCGAAAGTTGTTCGGTTTTACCAATAGCTTATTAGCCTCCAGCAGAGATGAAGTTCACTAAAATCCGACGTTTTATTATAAACATGTATATCAATTGCAAGTATCTTAGGTGTTTAAAAATTGCATTTCAACTGCATGTTGTATGTCCACATGCCCGCAAGAGTATCTATAAGAACAGGCGTAAAATGAGAAACACATTGATTGAGATGTGGCCCACGTCATGTGGGGATATTTGAATTATCAAATGGCAGCGGAAACCTTGTTGCATGCGTGGCATACATACATAAATTACTTAGTAACGCCTTTTGTCTCGCAGGTATAACATAACTACAAAACAACACATAAGACATCTTTCTCTCATTGTAGTAGCAGTAACAGAATAAATCAATACATTAACTCTCGTAAAACCCTTCAGTACATGCACCTACAATTAAAAATTCCATATAACTATGTATAACAACTGCATGTGGTACATCAAATGTCGAAACGTCAAGAAGTGTTTTGTCTATTTTAGGCAGTTGCTATACCACATTTGATGCTAAGTCATAAATACCTACATTTACGTGTTTCTCCCTTGAATTATCTCAGTCAGAAAGCAAAATGTTCAATCAAAGTATAGGAAATTAATGAAAAAGAAATATTTCTAGCTTCACTTGAGAATCACATCATTTAAAGTATTTTCAATTCTGTGAGTGTCGAGAACTGCTTACTTCATTGGCGTTAGAAGTTTTGATTGCATTGTGCAGGTCTGTTACTTTTAAACAAGACGAGTGGCGTGATACAAACTGACTTTCAAAACAAACATCGGAGCAATGACGTTCAGCTTTTGTGCAAAGCGAAAGTTGTTCGGTTTTGCCAATAGCTTATTAGCCTCCAGCACAGATGAAGTTCACTAAAATCAGACGTTTTATTTTAAATATGTATATCAATTGCAAGTATCTTAGGTGTTTAAAAATTGCATTTCAACTGCATGTTGTATGTCCACATGGCCGCAAGAGTATATATAAGAACAGGCGTAAAATGAGAAACACATTGATTGAGATGTGGCCCATGTCATGTGGGGATATTTGAATTATCAAATGGCAGCGGAAACCTTGTTGCATGCGTGGCATACATACATAAATTACTTAGTAACGCCTTTTGTCTCGCAGGTATACCATAACTTCAAAACAACACATAAGACATCTTTCTATCACTGTAGTAGCAGTAACAGAATAAATCAATACATTAACTCTCGTAAAACCCTTCAGTACATGCACCTACAATTAAAAATTCCATATAACTATGTATAACAACTGTGGTACCTCAAATGTCGAAACGTCAAGAAGTGTTTTGTCTATTTTAGGCAGTTGCTATACCACATTTGATGCTAAGTCATAAATACCTACATTTACGTGTTTCTCCCTTGAATTATCTCAGTCAGAAAGCAAAATGTTCAATCAAAGTATAACAGGAAATTAATGAAAAAGAAATATTTCTAGCTTCACTTGAGAATCACATCATTTAAAGTATTTTCAATTCTGTGAGTGTCGAGAACTGCTTACTTCATTGGCGTTAGAAGTTATGAATGCATTGTGCAGGTCTGTTACTTTTAAACAAGACGAGTGGCGTGATACAAACTGACTTTCAAAACAAACATCTGAGCAATGACGTTCAGCTTTTGTGCAAAGCGAAAGTTGTTCGGTTTTACCAATAGCTTATTAGCCTCCAGCAGAGATGAAGTTCACTAAAATCCGACGTTTTATTATAAACATGTATATCAATTGCAAGTATCTTAGGTGTTTAAAAATTGCATTTCAACTGCATGTTGTATGTCCACATGCCCGCAAGAGTATATATAAGAACAGGCGTAAAATGAGAAACACATTGATTGAGATGTGGCCCACGTCATGTGGGGATATTTGAATTATCAAATGGCAGCGGAAACCTTGTTGCATGCGTGGCATACATACATAAATTACTTAGTTACGCCTCCTGTCTAACTGCATATGGTATAACAAAATCTCAAAACAACACATAAGACCTATTTTTCTCTCATTGTAGTAGCAGTAACAGAATAAATCAATACGTTAAATCTCGTAAAACCCTTCAGTACATGCACCTACAATTAAAAATTCCATATAACTATGTATAACAACTGTGGTACATCAAATGTTGAAACGTCAAGAAGTGTTTCGTCTATTTTAGGCAGTTGCTATACCACATTTGATGCTAAGTCATAAATACCTACATTTACGTGTTTCTCCCTTGAATCATCTCAGTCAGAAAGCAAAATGTTCAATCAAAGTACAACAGGAAATTAATGAAAAAGAAATATTTCTAGCTTCACTTAAGAATGACATCATTTTTTTTCTAATTTTATGACTGTCGACAACTGCTTACCTCATTGGCTTTAGAAGTTATGAATGCATTGTGCAGGTTTGTTAATTTTCAACGAGACGAGTGGCGTGATACAAACTGACTCTTAAAACAAACATATGAGCAATGACGTTCAGCTTTTGTTTAAAGCGAAAGTTGTTCGGTTTTACCAATAGCTTATTAGCCTCCAGCAGAGATGAAGTTCACTAAAATCAGACGTTTTATTATAAATATGTATATCAATTGCAAGTATCTTAGGTGTTTAAAACTTGCATTTCAACTGCATGTTGTATGTCCACATGCCCGCAAGAGTATGTATAAGAACAGGCGTAAAATCAGAAACACATTGATTGAGATGTGGCCCACGTCATGTGGGGATATTTGAATTATCAAATGGCAGCGGAAACCTTGTTGCATGCGTGGCATACATTCATAAATTACTTAGTAACGCCTTTTGTCTCGCAGGTATAACATAACTTCAAAACAACACATAAAACATCTTTCTCTCATTGTAGTAGCAGTAACAGAATAAATCAATACATTAACTCTCGTAAAACCCTTCAGTACATGCACCTACAATTAAAAATTCCATATAACTATGTATAACAACTGCATGTGGTACATCAAATGTCGAAACGTCAAGAAGTGTTTTGTCTATTTTAGGCAGTTGCTATACCACATTTGATGCTAAGTCATAAATACCTACATTTACGTGTTTCTCCCTTGAATCATCTCAGTCAGAAAGCAAAATGTTCAATCAAAGTATAACAGGAAATTAATGAAAAAGAAATATTTCTAGCCTCACTTGAGAATCACATCATTTAAAGTATTTTCAATTCTGTGAGTGTCGAGAACTGCTTACTTCATTGGCGTTAGAAGTTTTGAATGCATTGTGCAGGTTTGTTAATTTTCAACGAGACGAGTGGCGTGATACAAACTGACTTTCAAAAGAAACATCTGAGCAATGACGTTCAGCTTTTGTGCAAAGCGAAAGTTGTTCGGTTTTGCCAATAGCTTATTAGCCTCCAGCAGAGATGAAGTTCACTAAAATCAGACGTTTTATTATAAATATGTATACCAATTGCAAGTATCTTAGGTGTTTAAAAATTGCATTTCAACTGCATGTTGTATGTCCACATGGCCGCTAGAGTATATATAAGAACAGGCGTAAAATGAGAAACACATTGATTGAGATGTGGCCCACGTCATGTGGGGATATTTGAATTATCAAATGGCAGCGGAAACCTTGTTGCATGCGTGGCATACATACATAAATTACTTAGTAACGCCTTTTGTCTCGCAGGTATAACATAACTTCAAAACAACACATAAGACATCTTTCTCTCATTGTAGTAGCAGTAACAGAATAAATCAATACATTAACTTTCGTAAAACCCTTCAGTACATGCACCTACAATTAAAAATTCCATATAACTATGTATAACAACTGCATGTGGTACATCAAATGTCGAAACGTCAAGAAGTGTTTTGTCTATTTTAGGCAGTTGCTATACCACATTTGATGCTAAGTCATAAATACCTACATTTACGTGTTTCTCCCTTGAATCATCTCAGTCAGAAAGCAAAATGTTCAATCAAAGTATAACAGGAAATTAATGAAAAAGAAATATTTCTAGCCTCACTTGAGAATCACCTCATTTAAAGTATTTTCAATTCTGTGAGTGTCGAGAACTGCTTACTTCATTGGCTTTAGAAGTTATGAATGCATTGTGCAGGTTTGTTAATTTTCAACAAGACGAGTGGCGTGATACAAACTGACTTTCAAAAGAAACATCTGAGCAATGACGTTCAGCTTTTGTGCAAAGCGAAAGTTGTTCGGTTTTGCCAATAGCTTATTAGCCTCCAGCACAGATGAAGTTCACTAAAATCAGACGTTTTATTATAAATATGTATACCAATTGCAAGTATCTTAGGTGTTTAAAAATTGCATTTCAACTGCATGTTGTATGTCCACATGCCCGCAAGAGTATATGTATAAGAACAGGCGTAAAATGAGAAACACATTGATTGAGATGTGGCCCACGTCATGTGGGGATATTTGAATTATCAAATGGCAGCGGAAACCTTGTTGCATGCGTGGCATACATACATAAATTACTTAGTAACGCCTTTTGTCTCGCAGGTATAACATAACTTCAAAACAACACATAAGACATCTTTCTCTCATTGTAGTAGCATGCAGTAATAGAATAAATCAATACATTTACTCTCGTAAAACCCTTCAGTACTTGCACCTACAATTAAAAATTCCATATAACTATGTATAACAACTGTGGTATATCAAATGTCGAAACGTCAAGAAGTGTTTTGTTTAGCTCATTTAGGCAGAAACTAGGGGAGAAGAACCAGTAGTATATAGTTGACTAATGATAATACCTGTCATAATTGATTGAGGCAAACTTGATATAAACATCTCCTATTTATGTGTTATGATGCGCTTTATCCTTGTTTCCGAATTTTACAACAAATTGTCAATACTAGTCAACGAAAACGAAAATTTCATCGGATTAAAAATTAGCCCAAATAAATACATCTACGATGCCCTTTCATCCTAACATAAACCCGTCACGCATCATGACACGACAACGCCGAGGTGGGAAAGTCCTCGGAGAAACAAATGAACTAAAACCTGCACTATTTAGTGTCAATATAATGCATATAAGTTTCCTCCGTACTAAAAATAATCCTACGATTTAAATTTGACCAGCCGATTGTACGATTAATTCGGTTTACGAATTCTCACACCTTCAATTTCGGGATGAAAGAAGCGAAACATTTTCGTACTTTCGTAATCACAATTTCACGGCAAACTCGACCATAGATAGTTCTCGTAACTACGCGATCGATCAAGTCGGGGCCGGGGGAGAATACATTACTAATACAAAATAAGTGTTTGGGACTTTGGCTGTATTTTTAGTGATGCATTTTTTTCATTCGCCCCTGACAAAATTTTACTGACTCAAGCTTAGATTTTCAAATATGAATTTTACGCAAAACATAACAACAAAACACGCCTTTCTGCATCGCTATATATATATATATATATATATATATATATATATATATATATATATATATATATATATATATATATATAATATATATATATATATATTTTGAAGATTATATTGTGTATTATATTATGTGTTCACATAAATTGCAAAATAATGAATACAGCTGTATGAAAATACAAACCTCGACTTTAATCCTTATGTCAAATACTATTCAGAAAATACTACTCGCACATTTCACGATGACGGTTTAATAAAAACCTCCTAAACTTTTAAATCATTTCTATCAAACGACAGTCAACATGTTTACGTGGCACTCTCCCATATATGGAATGCCATACCTTATATGTGACTAAGCAAAAATAGCCTCGCGTGATATGTGATAATCACTGGAATGATTAATTAAAGATCAGCGTACGGCGTTTAGTTTATTTAAACGGTGGATAAGCCAAATTTTAAAAATACTCTCATATATCTTGTACAGTCGTACCTGCATCTTAGGCATTAAATATGTACTGCCAGTGACAATTAAACTATTTACATCGAAATATTTCAGCTCAGTTGTTCAATAAACAGATAATTTTGTTTTCCATTTTGAACTTATCCACCGTTTAAGCTAAACGCCTTCAGTCGAAGCCTATCGTTTTATTCAAGAAGCAAATTATTTTTTTTATCCTTAATACAAAGAATAAAATATTGTTTACAACTACATATTCAGGGCATAATATTGAAGTTGACTCATTTGAGAGATGTAGGAGTGTTATTTAATTTATGTAATAAATAAGATTAAAAGTTTTGGAAGACCAATTATGAATATATAGTAATTTCTATAACCAGGGTCTTTTACAGCCTTTGCTATATAACACAACTAAAAATGCAATAAAATAATTTATGCGCATTATTGTTACTACGCCTGTTCACCTAATTCCAATCGAGTTAGGTTTAGTAACGATATTTAAATCGTATCTATACAGTCGTAATTTCTTAAATCATGAATAATTAATTTCAGAAAATATTTAAACAGCTTGAGCTCATAGAGATTATAATTAACACTAGAGGGGTCATCGAGGAGAAATTGGGGAGCGCGTTAATGGGGGGCAAATTCAAGTCCCAGATGTTCACTCATTCACGATGTCCGAGGCCAAAATATGGCGTTTTAACGAGTTTTTTTTTATTTCTAAATGATTTTTCCCCTAAAATATCATTTCAGGATGTCTAAGGTAGTAAAAACAATTAAAAAAACACTGTTTTTTTCTTAAAAAATCGGCAAAGCGACCTAAAAAACGAATATAATTTTTTAAATACAAATTTTAGTTGTTGTTAACGTGGTTGCTAAGGAGGCATTGATCTAGCCAATCAGCGCTTGGCTTAGCATCCGGGACTTGAATTTGCCCCCCATTAACGCGCTCCCTTTTTCGACTGATGTTTCCGATACCAATGCCTCCTCTAGTGTTATTTATAATCTCTATGCTTGAGCTCGTGTCCTAGCCAGTGAGCTCCACATATATCTGGAGTAAGAACTTAAGACCTCCGTGAGGCCAAAAAGTGAAGCCAAAGATGGCGGAAATTGAGGCGCTATAGTACGTCAGTTTCAGTTTTCCTATGTGCGCGGTCAACTAAATTCATATTTTTTAACTTTATTTTTTCCTATTTTTGAGTAAAAAATGAGGTGAATTTCAATGAAAGGTATAATGCTATTTTATTGAGATACTTTTATATTTCAATTAAATTAACAAAGAAATAAGCGATACCTCACAAAGAAAGCTAAGGAGTGGCGGATTTTTGATGTTTTCGGTTTTTCGCAAATGACAACATTTACTCACAGAATATGCTTCCCAAAAAACATAAATAAAACTTTTCCCAGTTTAATTCATCTATATCAGGCAGGCGAAACAAAAAAAGGAAACAAGAAACTCAAAACATAAGGTGGAATTCCGTGGAAATATATGAGAAAATTTAAAACTCAAAATTAAAAAAATCTGAAATGCGTAGTTGAATTTATGGCGAAAAATGCATATTTACTCACACATACAGGGGGAAAATGCGGCACCCACATCGGGTAGACGCAGAGAAAAAGATTCTCAGTAAAATGAATAATTTTTTTTCCATTCATAAAGAACACGAAAATCTGAGGGTTTCGGGAACGTCACACTCGGTTAGAAGAATGAGAACTATTTGGCCGCGCGTACACCACGTGGTTCTACCCAGTGGTTCTACCGGGATGTCTTATATCCAAACAAGAGAAGTAGCCGCTGCGCTATAACCACTATGTAGTTGAAAAGGGCTATCTTTAAAAGGGATATCGGGCTAAATTAAACTTAATGGTTCTGAGGGTCTTAATTTCGAGCGGAATTATACACACTTCAAATTCAAGCCAGGAACAGTGGATCAAAAATGAGTCAACTATCGGTCCTCCGGCAGGAATCGAACCTACGCCGGTGCAATGCTCTTACCTACATCGAGTGAAGTGCTAAAAATCATAACTAAATTTAATTAATTTTCTTTGTTTTTACGAAAATTTAGTTTACTTCATTTGAAAGAAAACCTGAACCACATAGCTATCTAGAGTAGTTTTTCGATACCATTTAACAATAGACCTTTAACAATAGACCATTTAACAATAGACCAATAGAATTTAACCATAGATCGGTAATTATGTCACAACATTTTAACATCACAACGTTTTAAATTTAGAACCACCTTAAATGAGATGGATTTCAAGTTTTACTCTCACAAGCTATGTGCAAAGATGCAAAACATCTTTCTTCAACACATGCATGAAAAATATTTTTTTCTTTTGACCAATGCATGTAGAAATAAGCCATAACACGAGAACGAGGCGAAAAAGGCTTTACAACTTTTTTTAGTATTAATTACAGTACTATTTAAACTCCTAATATATCAATACATTAAACATGCATTTAGTCTGTGGGTTGAGCAAATAATATCACACTATCAGTACAATTATTTGCTCACACTATTATTTCCTTGATCCACAGAATTATTGCACATTAATTTAGTTAATTTAATATTAAGTTTAATGTTTTATTAGGAGGTTAATTAAATGGTGATGTTTTTAAAAAGTCAATAATACTAAAAAAAGTGTAAATCCTTTTTCTCAAAAATATCTTTCACTGAAGGCTCCTCCTTACCAACTTTTTAAATCTTGCCCAGTTTCTGAAATAATATCTTAACTGAAATCAGTGAGCTGGTCACAATTTTGGATTAACATGTCTGTCACAACAGGCATGTTGTGCAGTCTTAATGGTTCAATGTATTCTACTTGACTTTGACAAGTCAATTAAATAAAAGTCAAAAGAACAGTGAATTGTACTAGACTGGTATGTTCAAATGATACACTGTCATCATGTGTATGTGTTATTGTTACTAAAACTGTCAAATGACATGAAGGAAAATCCAAGTCCCAGGACTATAAATAATATAGTTGATTCAACCTGCACAGTACATGCTAATTTTGCTGGTAAAGAAGTGTGTAGCTATGTCATTGTATACAGTTGTTTACAATCAGTCAATATTTGGAATCAGTCAATTCCAATCACAATTTTAATAAGAAACAGTTTGTATGGTATTTTCAGTTATTTATTGCTTAAATGATATTCTCAAGTTTGTGAATAGATTGGGTCTCTCTTTTAAATTCAAACAAAGGCTACCTACATGTACACTATGCATACTTATTTATTTATTATTTCAAATCCAAGTCATACCAAAATCTATTGTTTTGGACCATGTTTCGAAAAAAAATGAAAACAGAGAATGTTTAGACATCATATATTTTGCAATGTAGTTTAGAGAAAAAGTTCTAAAGATTCATTAACTTATATGGTATATTATATTATATCTATAGCCATAGCATAGGATAGAATTATGTGCCTAATTAATAGTTATACGAATAGCATTACCTGAGCTTTAAGCAGAGGGTGAATTAATATTGGGTGAAAGGTTGTTAAATTATCTTAGTAAATCGTAGTATAAAGTGGAACCTTAAGTCCTTAATTGAATTGTAGATGTAATGTTGTTATACCATTTCAAATTCCGAAGTTGAACATTTGGATCTACTAGTACTGAATTGAAAGAAGTCAAAGGACTCAAGAGTCGAATTGAAACTTGAAACTCTAGCATAACATTGCAAATGCAAATTACAATTATAAAATACCCACCTTTGGCATCGATATTTTAACAGTTTTCGTTGCTGCCTTGCTGGTGCATAAGGAAATGTTTAGGGTCCACATAATTTCATTTAGGATTCAATGCAACAAGGAAATGAAAGTTGAATCTCAAATTACTAGAAATACATGCATGCAGCTACCCCTCGCTATTTCAAACCAAGTACACAATTTCCTGAGTTAACCTGACCTAAACTTATATTATGAAATGACACAAAACTCAAATCAGTGTTAAAGTTTCCATCATTCAATACAAAAATAATCACAAAGCTAGTGTAAACATTGCCCGTTCAATTTTGCTGCATTATACCATGCCAGCAATTAAGTAACGGTTTAAAATCAAAGTTTCAAACGATTAAAACAGTACAAAATCTTCACAGACAAAGAAAAAACTTCAAATGTTATTTTATTCTGTAATTGCAGTCAACGCCGGCGGCTAAAAGTTTCAGTATACTTTATAAATATAGTGTGTATTTTTGATACCAAAATTCAAATTACACTTTCAAAAACACTTTTTGAAGTTAAAGCAAAGGTGTAATAGCCCTTCACAGGTTTATGCGTTTGCAGAAAAAGCTGAAAATTTAACAAATGAACGGCATACAAAGATGAAAAGTATACAAATACAGCTCATTCTTACCGCGAAACAAGTACGAGATAAACAAAGTAAACACGTACCCTTTGTCTTTGAAAACATCTATAAGCTTGCAGATTATGAATTATTCCTCTTACACGGCTTTGTTTTGACTGTATCCACGTTCATCTTTGCTATCTGTCATGCTTCGTATATCTTGTTTCTTCTTTGCACAAAGTTTATGAAACGCTTTTACAAAAATGTTTACGAAATGACAGTTAAATTGCTGACGTTCTCATTGAATTACAAACTTTCTGTCTTAGCCAATCAGAACGTTCGTTGATTACCAGTCTACACTCGTTCGCATTTCACGCATGCGCACAAGTACCATGACCATTGAACGTCCACGGTCCACGACCACTGAGCTATATAATAATTCCTGGAGGACCGGCTCCTAATGTTTTTTTCTCAAAAAGTGAAGCAAAAAACATGGCGGATTTCGCCCT